TCATCTCCATTCTTCTCTAATCTGCCGTTTTTCAATTCCTCGTGATGAGATGAAACGTCATGAGTAATTTCAGTGCAAGTTCAACACATCTAGTTTAATACGGAACTTTTATATACAGGTCTACATCTAGTGGCTCTTCCGGAGGATATTGCAGATCTGAAGCATGTGCTCGTGACGAAGAAGCAGTCCTCGTCGGGTTGCATGTTTGCATCTACCGGTGTACATCTGTATCTGTCAAACAACCGCATAGTGCGGCTACCTCCGTGCCTATATCAAATGACAAATATCACTGTTCTATCTCTCCGTGGAAACAACTTGCGGGAACTATCACCAGTATGTGCACACTTTTGCGCGTTTGTGACCGTATTGATGGTTTTTTTCTGTACTTAGCTGTATATCGCTGAGCCAACCTATTCGTGTGTAGATACGTGAATATCGTGTCGTATTTGCGTGTACATCGGTGATTGAGGATTTATAGTGTGGTTTAAGTTTCTGCTGCATATAGAGGCGGTGTAGATACTTCAATGCATGAGCTAGTCTAAGTGCAATAGAGCACACGGCTTTGCATGATTGCAGTCGTGAATATGAATATAAATTTGTGTATGCATTCATATGTAGTGTATCCCATGTTCGTGATGCAAAGTTGTGTGCTAGAGCTAGACACAATCGATCATTTGCCCGACGAATTGATATTTCGGGTGCTAATCCATGAATTGTCTTCATGTGTACGTATGAATTTAGTTGTGTCTGCATAGATACCGAACATTGAGCATAATTGATGGAGTATGGCGGAGCGATTGCTATTCGTTCTATAGTATGGTGATCGCACTTTTTTGGAAAGTCACCACATGCTTTACAGCCTACTTTTCTGAGAAGCTTTACCAGATAGTCGCGATAGGTTTCACTCTCGCTCATGTGCTATAGAATAAAGGCGTAGAAGCATACTCATTAAATTCACATGCGTTGCATCTATAGGAAATCGCTGGGATGCGAAACCTGACCGAACTGTCAGTGTCGACTAACCAGCTCAAATTTCTGCCGGCGGAGGTGAAGCAGTTGACTAAGTTGCACACTCTGAGTGCAAAACCCAATCCATTTGTAGAGGGGAGTATGGTGGACGTAGACTATACCCCATACAAATCGCAGACTAAACTGTCGGAATTGAGTCTGCAGGTATTGGCTAATGCGCCCAGACAGACACAAAGGAGAGCGAACAAGGACATCGAGCGACAGTTGAGGTGAGTATACGTACTACTATATACCAATCTATATATATATATATATACCGTTCTTTTATTGTACGAGGTAGTGTGTATATTACGAGACTCACTTCGACCGGTGTAGCATAGTGGGTAGGCTCTACATAGGTGGATAAATACCCAGGAGAATTGAATGTTCACACTGGAAAGGGTATGGTTCAGAAGATGTGTTTTAGTCAATAGAATAGTCGGTGGGCATATAATAGATATAGGATGGAACAGAAATTCTAGTTGATCTAGGTCAGGCATCTTCAATGGTTCTAGGAAGTAGTGGGACCAGGTTTTATCCGGCTAAAGAAAAGTATCATCTTTACCAACTTCCGTGAACTCCTTACGACCGTTACTCCACTTGTCAGAGCCCCCAGATTATAAGCTCATGGCATTCGATGATAGTTCTCACAACCCTATGATCTACTCACCTATACATCGCTAACACTGCAATCGCATCCTGACTCGCAGTGACATGCATCCCTGCACCGGCTGTCAGAAGCTATACCATGAGAGGATGATAGCGGTGGTATTGATGGAAACCGTTTGCAATCGCGTGGTGCCTCTGCGCTATCGAATGTGCTCACCCAGCTGTGTCACTCGCCTAGTTGACGAGAACAGCACGAACAAAAGCCCCGGCGCCTGAAACATATAGGTGAGCGAGCGTATGGCACAGCGTGGTTGATCGCGACTACGTCTCTTAAGTAAAGGCAATTTGATGGAGAGGCGAGGGTGGGATATATGATGGGTTGAGGATCATCGATAGACTCCTATAGTATATGTGCACGAATGTACATGAATACACGAAATGTACGTACGTGTATATGCTCGAGGAGTTAGGATCTCACGAGGTAGTCACGCGAGTATAGAAAAGTATGTGCGATTGGTATGGTGCTGATATCATGGTTCTTGGCAGTTTCTCTCGTACTACACATTGTAATTCGCCATTTTCATTCATCCCATCTGTAGACCGCGCGTGGCGACAAAAGCGGTGACAGTCTCTGTCACTATTTCTGGCATATATCGATCGCCAATGCACCTGGCCCTGGACATCTAGGACCCGCCCGACCTGCACCAGCTCGAGAGTATTGGATTGATAACATAACTTTAAAACAGCCGTACGCATGTACGCCAAGCTGTAGGTCATGGACTAACTTAGCCTGCTGAGCCACCGAGAACCCCTTTGTACACTAGTCAGTAGATGTGACAGAACATCTAGCCTAGTTACCATATAGTAAAACTATAGTGTACAGTTTACTAAAAATAAAGTTAAACCACATATACTGGACTTGAATCAAAATAGAAAGAAGTTTTTTTTCTTCTCTTTTGCCTACAATTGATTGAAACTCTAATCGTATTATTAGATTCGATTCACCGCATATTTCGCCTAACAAACAACAATTATGGTTAGCTTCAATACCACAAATGGTGGGAGTAGCTCTCACCATGCACGTCGTACCCCGTCCATGTTTTAATTTATGGCCGACGGAACCGACCGATCTTTTAGTCGTGGTTGGGAGTTTGAAAAGTTCCACATGGAATATTCACGCCTACCATGCGAAGCATCAAAAGTCGCACACTTTGTGCAGCTCTTAAACCAACCTAACCATAGCAAGCTCGTGGCCATCCTTGGTATATAGTGCACAGTTATGGAGATGATACGTTGGTTCATTGCCCACTATGGTAGTACAGCACATTTAAAGAAGCGCGTAAAGTTAGCACAAAGCTGTCCTCTGGTGCCCATTTTTTTTTTTTGGAAGTATTTGGTTCGTTCTGACGTAACCAAGTATGAATTACTGTCAGTGCTTTGTCGGCTGGATGAACAAATGAACCCCAAGCCCCAAGAAGATTACGAAGCCTCGATGACATGATTGTGGTGGGGGAATGTTAATGCAAGCAGCTGATGGTAAGACTATCAGTGATTACTTCCAACTAAAGGTTCCTCCGGAAGCATAGGGTGCTTTTTGACCCGAGACTCCACACCGTGCCGGGCACCCAATATACTCCTACCGGGCGATCGTCAGTCAAGCCCGTCGGAGTCTGGGATGTTCCGTCACAAGAGAAAAGGGTATGTGAAGAAGGAGCGGAGAACATGTTCGTACACCCTTCCCAAACTGTAGCTTAAACAAATGTGCCAACCCAAGGTCAACGAGTAAACACAGGGGCTGAGAATATCACAGGTTCCGAACCTGTCTTCGTGACATCTATGAATGCAGGATATGGCTAAATGTTGGAGAGCACAGAAACTTTGACGAATCCCACCTGATATGTACGACGCGTATCCGGACCTCAATTTAATCGATCTGTGACTCTTGGAAGTTCAGTTTCCAGATTGTACCCCTGAAGGAGGACCGTTTGACAATATCTCAGACTTAGGCTGATAGCTTCGTATGCGATATACCTCAACCATAGAGGAGGCGTCACAACACTCGACGATAACTTTGTTGTCGCAGCAACCGGTCGTTCGAAACATATATACATCTACTTGAACCAGCGACAGTGTTGCTTTTCATTATCACAGATGCCGAGGGCTATGCCGCATGGTCATGTATACTATACATGCGACCTCCATGTTGGTCAGTAGCGCTTCTTACCGGTATAGACCCTACCTATACATCTGTGATCAGCTCGAGCCCCAGCCAATGTACCACACACAGAGTATGGGGTGGACTTTGAATATCATGTACCTGACATACCCAGTGTTGGTGAAAAGCAAGGCTATTTAATCATCAGGCGCTATATCCACACACAGGAACTACGGTCGAACTAAGGGAGCATCTCATCACTGTTTAGAATAGGTTGTTCAAGCTTCGGAACAAAATGTTGCCCAAGCTTTTGGACAACTATGAATAACGCATTGCTATGCGTTCATTCAACTCTACTGCCTACATTGGCAGAATGTTTACTTCAGATTTTGACCCTGTAAGGACGGACACATACTGCGGTGTGTGCTGCAAAGATGTATACCCAGCTAACCTCGAGAATGAAGCCGCATAGACACCAGATATAGGTCAGAGTGCGTTCCCAGGATTTTTTATAATTTCCCATAGCGAGTTGATGCCGTTCACGGGACGGTGATATAAACCATGGAAGTAGTGGGCGCGTCATGAGTACAGGTAGTGGTTATCAGTCGGACTCGCAACGAGAACAGAACCGCTATTTGAGTGGTCGCCGTCAGTCAACGTAAAGTGCCCACCAGCAGACGAAAGGTAACAATCATGCGGACCAGAGTCAACAACGCTCACTTTCACGAGACAGCTCTCGTGACAATCGCAACTAAACGCCGACCTGCCTCAAATGTCACTGTTTTCGTTGTCATTGAAACTCTATGTGTCCTATATGTCATACGTGCGAACAGGCTGGCCACTATTCTGCTGAGAAGTTACAATGTATGTACCTATTGTGTGGCTCTCATAGCCGTTGTAGTGGTTCGGGGAAGATCGATGGGAACAAGTGGTCAGTAAATTTCCGTTTGAAGCTTGAGCCAAGTGAGTCGACGATTTTCAGGCCGGTGCTGACAAAAAAACTGACACCATCGAGTGTGCCACGTATTCGCTTGCTGACCTACTAAGTAGCGTACCCACCTCTGTGGTTCGGATCGGGTCTTCACCGCGTAGTGCCGTGGAATGGGTTAGTGCAGAGTACGAAATGCCGTGTAGAACCAGGCTAGCCGTCATAATTCGGTTGAGGAGCGAGGTTGGGGGTGAACCGATGTCGCACCAGACCAGCTATCCGCAGCAACACGAAGCAAGCTGGTTCTTGAGGTTGATATACCGCTTGAAATGCTATCCGCGGAATTGGTTTGGCCCCTGCTATTGTGTCATACTGTGGATATTTATATATTCCTCTGTATTGTAAGATATTGTATCAAACTGTGACGATAATGTTAAGGTATAGATGATACGGGTTCCATACCATGCATGATCAGCAAGAAATTCGCGGAGAATTTAAACTTCCCTATAGTTATTGCGACAGTTTTGTATGTTGGGGGCTTTGTGGGGGTAATGGTACAGTATCTCTTCCCCAACAAGTATATGCAACCTTTTTTAGCATGTGCTTGCTGTCAATGACTCAGCCACACTGTTCAAAACTGTAGAACTGCTTTTTTATGTCCCTATTGAGTGTGAGGTTTTGTTTGGGTTCAACTATATATAACAAAACCTACTTAGTATCACATAGAACTTCAACTTCTACCTGTCAGTTACCCGGGTGGGTTCCTAGTGACCAGATGATCATCGGAAATTATCGCTAGTATTGATATACCAAGGATTTTTGGCCCTCAACTGTCAGGTAAGTCATGCCCGAATATGACTCCAAGTATCTTGACCGATATAAGAAAATACTCGATAAGTCGCCTGAGGAACTTCGATTTCTATGTGACCAATATGATGAAGTTTTAGCACCCAATGTCGTCGTGGTCAAAAGTTCAAGAAATGAGCATATTTGTCCAGACATATCTACCGCACCAAAGATTCGGTGCTTCAGGTAGTAAAACTGAAATGGTTCCTGGCAGTTAAGTCTCGGGGAAACGGGAGCGGGGGACAAATACATACAGTGAGTCTGGTCAGTTCGTGTAGTCTGCAAAACATAAGTAACCAAGCTTACGGGGAAAGGTTATCAAACGAATATAAACTATATACATATAAATATAGTGTGCTATTGACTGCCGGGGTTTTTTTTAATCCCACTGGGGAGCGATATGGTCGAAAATCTTGTATTTCGGTTATTCAATCGCCATGCGACAAGCCAACAATTTACATCGATATAACAGTATTTTATGGATCGCTCTGAGAGGCGCGAGCAGGCTGTCTAATTGCGCAGTATTCATGATTTTCTTCAAAGTAGTAAAAATAGCAGAGAATCTTATGTAGCTGAAATATAATAAACTATTTACTTTTTTGCTCGAAGTTTTGACAGTTCATCCAACGAATGCTGAGCTGTTCAAGATCGCCGTTACACTTGTGAGGGTGAGCTGGGGGATAATACAAATATATG